TAGCCTGGAAAAGCGCAGGCTCAGGGGTGATCTGATGGCCACCTATAAGTTTATCTGGGGTGACCACCAGGATCTGGGGGAACGTTTGTTCACCAGAGCACCCCAAGGGATGACGAGGTCAAACGGTTATAAACTTCTGCGAGACCATTTCAGGCTGGACATAAGGAAGAATTTCTTTATTGTCTGAGTCCCCAAGGTCTGGAACAACCTGCCATCGGAGGTGGTCCAAGCACCTACTTTGAACACCTTCAAGAGCAAATTGGATGCTTATCTTGCTGGGATCCTATGACCTCAGCTGACTTCCTGCCCTTTGGGTGTGGGGCTGGACTCGATGATCTTCCGAGGTCCCTTCCAGCCCTAATGTCTATGAAATCTATGAAATCTTTATTGAAGCAGTCAATTTTGGCCATCCATATGGTAATCATAACAAATAGAAGTGTGTGTTTCCCAGGTACATTGCACACAATTTTACTGTAGTCATTTAATCTGATAAGTTCCTTATCTAAAAGCTCTTTTAGGAAAAATCAGTAAGAAATGGACTTATTTGTGAAAGTGAGGTTATTTGTAAAAGATATGTTTTCTAAGTACACATTTACATCCCTTGGAGGATTAATGCCTGGTAGATCCAACAGTGCAAATGGAGCTAGATAGAATGGGAAGGAAGTTTAGTTTAGTTTGTTAGTTTACTGCTTGCATATTTTATGCAAAATCATATATGTTGTGCAAATACAGAGATTAAGGAAGTTCAGGAAGCTACAGATAAATGACTGAAATACTTACTCACTTTTTGTCTTGCAACATTTCCTGTCAACCAAATAGAGCGGAAAATAACAACTAAGAAGCAAGAAAGACTATGTTGTGGATGCACTTGGATAACTTCAGATTCAAGCCATTCAAACCTTCCTGAGCTGGGCTACCTAGATATAACTACAACAGTTAAAAGAGATAAAATTGTTTGAAAAGCAGGAGGTAAGTCTATTTTTGCTTCATTGGATACTATAACTTACAATTAAAAATATTTATAATGGAAAAAAGAGGTTTAAGCTAGGCCCTTTTCTTATATTTAGGAGGGTCTACTATTGTTCCATTAATATTTTTAAGTGAAATCTGAAGTTAAATATTTCCTAAACATCAAAAAATGAGTGCTTCAATTTCTAGCATTGCCTGCCACCTTGGGGAAAGACATTAATACTCTTTTTCCTCATTTGTGTTTCTTTGTCTCATCTGACATGTATTTTGCAATATCTACATGAAAGTTTATAAGCTGAATTGAATTCTTTTTGGAAAATAAGAAGAAACTATTTGGCTATTGCCTCCTATAAAGAAAGTCAGGTATCACTATCATTTATATTAGTCTGAGCACCAGACAAGTATCAGGACTGTCTGATAACATTCAAGACAATGTGACAACAATTTTACGTTTCCTGCTAGTAAATTCAAGACAGACCAGTGGAAGAGATGATAATAATTTCAACCTCTTAGATATATTTCTGAATTTAAAATTAACCATAATCACTCCTACATTAGCTTTCAGTCAGCATACACCAATGGTCAAAAAGCAACCAAAATGCATTCAAAAAAATGGGATAGAAAGTAATATTGAAACTATTTCAGGGTATTTATGTAAAACCAATAGTATGCCATAAGTTAGAATGTTGTGTCCTGATCACTCCCAATGCACAGGTTGGAATTCTATCCCTGGATGTGTAGCCCTGCATGATGACCATGTACTTGTGCATGCTGGGCATGCATGTTGGCAACAAAGTGTGAAAAAATGCAAGAGCTCCTTGCTTTTTCTTCTAGGACATGTACCTGGGAAGCTGGGTCCCTTCACCCAGGTTGGGAAGTTTCTGTAACTTCCAAGTACAGCGTTCTAACCATCACACCACAGGTCAACCCTTCTCCAGCAGTCCTTTAGAAGCTACCACACTAGGCTGGCATAAGAGGGAGGTGTGAGAGAGAAATGCGAAGCCAGGAAGAAGGGAGCAGACCAGAGGGTGTGCAACTCAAATAGCTGTTGGCCTGGAAGGAATAGGATATTTTGGCTAATTCCATTTTGGGTGTCTAAGGCTGCCCTGCGTCCACATGGGTGCATGTTCTGGTTTTCTCTGATTTAAAAAAAATCCCCAGTTTTCAGTTAAAAAAAAGGAACACCAATTCCACATTTTTCTGTGATTTAAATGAAATGCCATCAATAGATAGATAGATAGATAGATAGATAGATAGATAGTGGTGTTTCATTTTAATCATGAAAAAATGTGGATTTGGGGTTACTTTTTCTTAACTGCAAATTGACAGGTTTTTTTAAATCATAGAAAACCAGGATCCTGGTCTATTACATAGTTGCACACAGTGGTCTATATGTGCAGGGCTGCATGTCAAGGAATAGAATTTCAGCCTGTGTATAAGTGTTGTTTTAGACACTTAGGCAACCCATATCACATGTAGACAATGAAATCTGGAAACTTAGATGACCAGAACAGAATTTCACCCTACAGACCCAGAGAGGCCAAATTGTGACAGTAGCTCCTGCTAGGGATGCAAATTTTGTTTTAAAAATTATCCATTTAACCACCTCTAATTAATAGGGCTGTGCGAAACAGCACCGTTTTGTTTTGACTTCCATTTTGACATATTAAAGGGACAGTGTTTCATTTCATCATTTCACTTCATTTTGAAGCACTGTTCCATTTTGTATTATATAGTAGAATATCTCTATACTAGTGATATTTCATTTTAATCATGGAAAAACGTGGATTTTGGGTTATTTTTTAAATCCAAAAATTGGGTGTTTGGTTTTTTTTAATTAGAGAAAACCAGTATCCCTGCTGATCAGGATCCAGTCCTCAGTCTCCTAAAGGCCCAGTCCACTAGGTGTTCTTGGATAACAATACCATGCATACTAACATGTAGCTTGCCATAGGAAATCATTAGCTAAGCTGAGAAAAGGGGGAATAATATTATAATCATAAGGTATAAAGAATTGATAAAATGATAAAACAGTGGGTTTTGCTGACAGAGGATGCACCCATCCTATTCAATGTTTCCATTAGTGACATTAATGCAATGCTTGTTTTGGAAATCTTGGAGACAACACATTGCCAATATAAAGAAGGATTCAATCATACCTAAAGAATTAGATCATCTCCTTCTGCGCCTCTGTTAGTTTCATGAACCCTAAGAGGGTCCCATGTGTAGATGCCAAGACATTTTAGTCAACTGTGCAGTAAGCGTCTCATATAGACATGCCCGTAGAGTGGACAATCACGTGCTTGACGACTAACACCAAGAATTTTTGCTGTAAGGTAAGGACTCATACACTAAAGGCAGCAGAGAGGGAGAGGAACTATAGTGTACTGGTCAATCATACAAAAACCATGAGCTGCCAACTGTGCTGCAGCCATGAAAAAGTTTAATGCAATTTTAGAATGTATTATGCAGGTTATTGCTACTAGAGAGAAGAGAAGTTTAGCAAGGCTGTATGAGGCATTGGTAGGAACTTGAAAATTATATTTAAACTGGAAATTAGAAGACTTCTAGTGTTTTAAAATAGTCTTTAGAATTAAGTAGTGGGGCAGGAAACCTGAATTACTTCAATATGGAGCTTGGTAAGTTCATAGAAGTGACAGGATGTTAAGGATAGAAGTTATTATAGTTTCATAGTTTCATAGTTTCTAGGGTTGCAAGGGACCTGAGCAGATCATCTAGTCCGACCGCCTGCCATGGCAGGAAGAGCACTGGGGTCAAATGACCCCAGTAAGGTGGTCATCCAACCTCCTCTTAAAAACCCCCAGGGTGGGAGCCTGCACCACCTCACTTGGAAGCTGGTTCCAGACCCTAGCCGCCCTGACCGTGAAGTAGCGCCTCCTGATGTCCAACTTAAACCTTCCCTCCGCCAGCTTGTGACCATTGTTCCTGGTCATTCCTTGC